TACATCCTGATGGTCTGCTCGTACTTGGTGATCTTCGCCTGCAGCTCCGTGCGCTGCGCGACCGACGAGGACTCCGCCACGTTGTCCTCATCATCACCTTGGTCAACCTCCATGTCCGAGGCCTTGCCGTTGTACTTCTTGAGCTTCTTGTTCTCGGCAAGGAGTTGCTTGAGCTGGTTCTGCATCTTGGCCATCTCCTTGGCCTCAGGAGCCCAGGGCGTTAGGGTGGACCGAAGGCCAGTCCCTCCCACAGACTTTGAGGGTGACTTCGTTGCAGGTGCACCGCTCTTGCCTGACTCCTTGGCCTTCTGCTCTGCCGCCTTCCTTGCCTTCTGCGCCGCGTGGAATGGGGCCGGCTTGCCGCAGCGGCAGACGATGCGGCACGCCCAGTTGGCACTCGTGCCGCAGCTGGGGCATCCCCACGTTGGCTCACGCGGTCCATGAAAAACCCGTGGTTGTCGCTCCTCAGGCTGCGGCACCATCGATCCCGAAGATGAGCCGTGGTGCTCGTCGAGTCTCTTTGCCGCGCTCCGCAGCAGGGCCTGGAGGCGGGGCGTGGCCTTGCCCGCCCAGGCGTGCAGCAGGGCGCGGTCCGCCGCACGGCGGAGTCGCGCGCGATGATGGCTGGCCGCCTCCCTAGGCGGCGTCGTGCCGTGCGCTATTCTCGGCGCGCGCGGGGGGGCCCTCGCTGCGCTGGCAGGCGCCCAGGGGGCACACCTCGCGAGCCAAAACTAGGAGGAGGAGGAGGAGAAGGAGGGGGAGGAGGAGGGGGAGGAGGAGGGAGGGAGAGCAGGACGAGGAGCAGGAGAAGAAGGATCAGGAGGAGTAGGAGGAGGAGGAGGAGGAAAAGGAGGAGGAGGAGGAGAAGGAGGGAGGAGGAGGAGGAGGAGGAGGGGAAGGAGGATGAGGAGGATTATCCGAGGAGGAGGAGGAAGAGGAGGAGCAGGAGGAGGGGGATCCGAGGAGGGGAGGAGGAGTGTGAGGAGGAGGGGGAGGCGGAGGAGAAGCAGAAGGAGGAGGATCCGACGAGGAGGATCCGACGAGGAGGAGGAGGGGGAGGAGGAGGAGGAGAAGGGGGAACAGGAGGAGGAGGAGGAAGATCTGAGGACCACAATCTCCGATCATCATATGACTTTTCAATCCGGGGCCCCTCACCGGTCCCAGCGGATCGGGGGGAAAATCTGGTCCTGGGGAATGGGTCTGGACCTTTGGGGCCGCGGGTTGAACAATCAGATCGGAGGATGTTTGGAGCGCAAGTAGTGTGATGCGCAGCTGGTGTCATGCTCACCTACATGCTGACGGCAGCTCGAGCTGCTCTGAGTGAGTTGGCATATGCAGCGTCACGCTGTGGAGGGCTAGGGGCATCAAGTGGCCTCGACATGGCTGGCGGCTCAGCGTGGCACGTGCTACGGTGAGCTCGGCGCTGGGGGTGGGCTCCATGCAAGCCGTCAGGAAAAATTTTCGCAGCACAAGGATGAAGGGGGACAAGGAGGAGTCCCGCGGGCCCACGAGACGGGACAGGTCCCGCTGCTCCTCCTCCTCCTCCTCCTCCTCCTTCATCTCCTCCTCCTGCATCTCTTCCTCCTCCTCTTTCTCGGATAATCCTCCTCATCCTCCTTCCCCTCCTCCTCCTCCTCCTCCTCCTCCTCCTCCTTCATCTCCTCCTCCTTCATCTCCTCCTCCTTCATCTCCTCCTCCTCCTCCTCCTCCTCTTCCAACGTCCTTGGCGTTCTCCCGAAAGCGTCCAAGCACTTCGACCCTGCTCCCCACCTCGTCCTCGATTTGAGTAAGAGGAGGAGGGAGGAGGAGGAGGAGGAGGAGGAGGAGGAGGAGGAGGAGGAGGAGGAGGAGGAGGAGGAGGAGGAGGAGGAGAAGGAGGAGGAGGAGGAGGAGGAGGAGGAGGGAGGAGGAGGAGGAGGAGGAGGAGGAGGAGGAGAGGAGGAGGAGGAGAGGAGGAGGAGACAAAAGAGGTCCTTTGGTCCTTTCAGGGCCTTCTGAGCAGCATCCAGCTCGCCCCTACCTGTGTTCCTGCGGGCTACCTCAGCCTGTCGAGGAAAATGCGCCGACGCTTTGACGACTTCCTCTCCACGGCTTCACTAATGCGCACGGTATCATACATGCTAGGGTTCGCAATCACAATACTAAATTGGAAAAGGAAATCACACAGATCTGCAGCAGCCGTCATCTCAGCAGTTGTTGTGGTCGCTTTCGGGTCCAGGGGTATCGATCGTGCACGCCACCGGTGGGGTGTGCCAGCGCCTGTCACGAACTCCACCACCCATCCCGCCCCCACTCCTTCAGACCGCCTTCCTCCGTCAAAAGATCCCACCATTTTGACATCCGGGTCGAAGAAAACCTCCCTGGGGACCGGTACGTTTTCTCCAAAAGCTTCTGGTACATGGATTGCCCGGGTCGCCATGGCATCTGCCTCCTTGTTGAACTCCCGGTAAACGTGTCGTGCAAAATCCCCTCCCTCCTCTACCGGTCTGAATCCATTACAGAAGGATGAGTAAAGACGTTCCCGTGCCCGACGAAGAGGACCTAGTAATCGACTATTCGTACATTGCCAAGTACCGTTGAGCCAATGCACGACATTGTCGTTGTCGCCTCGGATCTCCAGCTTCAAAGAAGAAGGGTCCCGAGGCCGTTCGCGAAGCTCGGCCGGTGGCTGTACTGCGCGCGCACGTTCATGCATTCGTTGATGATCCCGTGCCTCCCTCCCCCGTGCACGTACGCGCAAAATACGACGACGAGATAAGCCGGCCTTCGCCATGACCTCCGAAACGAAATTCTCCTCCATCCCCTTCCACACTCCACCATCGACGACGTGTGCTCTCCAATCCCGGCCGATCACAGAGATCCAAAAATCTTCCCATTGTGCGATTTTCTTCCACCCAGGCCGGTGCTGCCAGGGATGTTCGCTGTGAGCAATTTCGGAATACTTCTTCCCCTCCACCCGTGCCCTCTTGTGCCTGTGCTGTATCATGAATTCCTTGTAGTCCTGCCAATGCGACTCTGTGAGGTGCGTGTAAACGTCCTTCAGGAACGCGTTAGTCATCCAAGTTACGTGGCCGTCTGCCACAGCGCCCTCTGCCGGACCGTCCGGGGACAGAACATGACGAGCAAAGCGATGCCGTAACCGAAGTATGCGCTCACACACGAGAGAATGCCCTTGCTGAACATACAGTTTCTTCATCTGCCGGGTTGTGGACTGCATGTAGTCTGCCATCGTTTCCCCCTCCCTCCTTCCCCTTGTCCTTCCAATACGTCCCAAGAATCCGCCTTCCACTTTAGATACGTAAACTAACATGCCGTAGGTCATGGCCCAACCCTCACACCCATACGTTAAGATAGGAACCACATACTCTGCGTAGCGTTTCAATCTTTCCACCAACGGCAAAATCTTCTGACGCAAAAGTGGCTCCCCCCAGAACGCATTCCTTGCCCTCTCCACCCTCCGATAAATATCTTCCCATGCCCCCCCCTTCTCGTCGATGATTGTGCCAAGCTGGAGCGATGATGAGCAACGCCTCACTTCCAAGTTCCGAAATGGGTGCCGAGGCTGCGGTAAAGTTTTGGGTCCGGTTTCCGTATACGTTGGGTCCGGCCCACGAATGCAGAAGGATGCGGGTGCCGAGGATGCGGTACTCAGGAATTCTAGCGAGGATGGTTTCCAGCTGAGGCGCCTCTTGGCCAGGGCACCGGTGAGCAGATTTGCCATCCACTGTATTTGATGATGATCACGTCCTAGCAAATACACATTGTCACACCACAGAAGATGTGTATACGTACGAGAATTCAACTTCAATCCCAAATTCGCCTCCCGGTACAGCACGCGGCACTCGCCCAAGACGTCGGCCATGACGGTATTCCATTTGGCGGGGGCATCTGTAGAGCCTTGCCGTTCACACTTGTTGAAATCGACCGACGTGCTAGAAGGGGCCCCTTGGAACACCGCTTCCAACTTACAACCCACGTTTTCCCTCATCAGGGCGGCCGTCAGATCAGCGGGGGCATGGCGCTTGGCCATGGATGCACATACTTCCTTCCCACGAAGATTGTCGAACGCCTGATAGACATCGCCCACGAAAACGCAGAACCTCGCTTCATCGGGCCATTCCCACGCCTTCGCCAACAGGAGAGACACCGGCGCCGTGATTTGGTTGCAGGAGAGGCCCGGCTCAAACCCGAGAACGCATAGCGAACGGTATGCCGGTGGTTTTGGGAAATCCTCCAAGAGGAGGGTCAAAGACGCGACGTACCACTTGAGCATGATCGAGAGCAGCGTGATCCCGCGAAAGTGTTTCGTCAGGTCAGTGGCGTCTCTTTGCTTTGCCAAAAACACCATCGTCAGATACCTCCAAGACTCCACGGTTTCCCCTCCCCGTTCAAGTCGTTCCCGGAAAAGCCGAAACATGTAATAAACACTCTCCAGACCTAGGTTCGTGATCATCTCCCCCACCACCATATCGCTACCTCCAGCCCTCCCCATCTTCATGCGACTGCGTGCGTGCATAACGTGATGCACCGAGTATGCCTGACTTGCTGTCCGGGAGCACGCGGCGCGCCTCTCCTCGGCCACCAACAGGAGCGCTTGCACGCGTGCAAGCTGACATTCCTGAGATTCGTCTGGATCGTGGTATTTATGTTTACAATACTCCACCAGCATGTTCCCCCACTTCGTGACGTCCTCCTCCGCCTTCCCATTGAGTCCTACCAAAGTCCTCCCCACCTGGTTGCCGCCTCCTTGTCCTTCCCTGTGCCTTCTCCCACCCGGGTGCTGAGCTCTCAGTTTCCTCCTCTGCCACTGCCTCCTCAACCTGACCTCTGTCCTCCTCAACCTCCTCTTCTCCTCTCCAGGTGCCATGTCGAGAATGCGCCGCCGGATCTCGGTGAGCTCCGGGGGTTTTGCCATGGCTTCCTTGACGAGCTGGTGACGGGTACGGTGCGGAACATCGCGGGCAGCCTCGGCAAGACAGCTGCCTGCTCGATTCAACTTCTCAGCCGCGGTGCCCCCTAGGCGGAGTAGGTCAGCATGGACGCGAACACGGTACTGGAACCGAGCATCATTGTCCTTAGGGGCCCAACCTGTGAAAGATTTCGTCCTGGAAACCTTCTCGATGAAAACCTCCTCCGTGGAAATCTGCACCCAAACAGGAAAGTGATCTTTGCGATGTTCATCGCCGTCGGCCCCTTTCAAGACTATCCGCTCCCGGTTCGGACACGCGTGCCTGCACGACCACGCCTGCGGAATGGCAACGAAGTCTAAGAAGCTGCCGGTATTCTGGCTGAGATGGGAAAACGTCCGGATGTCCTGAATCGCCCCCGGCTCCCCGAAAGTGTTGGCCAGCCGTAGTTTCCAACGGTCCAGAATATCAATGAGTAAATCCTGTCTTCTCCTGCCCTCCTCCTTCATCGGTGCAGCCAGCCCCCTCTTCCCCGTAATACGTCCCAGGTCCGTCGGTAGAGTCGTGTTCAAGTCACCCCCAAACAGAAACGATGACACCCCATGCGTAAACGCCCAAGTTCTTACTGATTCCAATTCTTTCAAAGCTTCCGAAAACTCTGCAACGTCTTTACCACAAGGTAAATAGCAACACGCTATGCAAGTAGACCCGAAGATGGTTCCCATCGCATGCCTGCTACTATGAGAGAATGACGAATTCAAGGCCAGCGTGTGTGGCCAAGCTATCGCGACGTAATCTCCAGATTTATGTCGAATGCTCCACCCCGCGGTGCCCGGATCTTCAGGCCATCCTTGGACTTCCTGAAGCAAAACGACCACACTGCTGCCGAAAAAGCGCACCACCTGATTCAAGATCTCCCCGATCAGCTCAGGCGACGCCCTCCCCACATTCCACGTGACTATCTGGAGCGCCCGGCGTCGCTTCACATGCATGCGACCTGCGAGGGTCGCTCGGGTCGGTCACCGACCCAGCAGCCCTGGCACCTCCTCGGCACTCGGACCGCCAGGGAAGCACTGAGCCCACGCCTCCGGGGGGATGACCCACCCCCCGCCGACCGAGTAGGTGGCCACCTTCTTGGGGCGCATGTTGTGGACGCAGCGGATCAGGATCTTCTGCTGCTGGACAATGTACTGAACGTTGAAGTGCTCTTTGATGTACCTGCGCTTCTCCAGGAAACCGTACCACCTCCCAGCCGCATTGGTGAGAGGCTTCATCTCGTCCGTGGGGGTCATGGTGCACCTCACCGTCTGGCCATTGATGATCTTGCCGGCAAGCGCGGTGGTGATGGCCTTCTGCACCTTCCACGCCTCGTTCCTGTCGACGCTGCTGTTCAGGACCACGATGGCCTTCGTGAGCAGCACCTTCGTGCCGATCTTATTGATGGACCCGGGCAGGTCCACCTGCGCCTTCACCGATTCTGACAGAGCACCGTGTACCTCGCGCAACAGTTGACGACATTCCTCATCGGTTTGCGAAGTGGCATCGGGGTCCTCCCAATCCACGACCCAGTTTTTGAGCTCGAGCGTGATGGGGCCATGATCTCCGCCTCCACCTCCACCACCTCCACCACCTCCAGACAAAAGAGGAGGAGGAGGAGGAGGAGGAAGACCATGAGGAGAGCGACGCACTTTCAGAACCTTACTTGGGGAACTGAGCCTCCAGGAACTCGAGGAGCTTCTCGCACGCGTCGATCTGGGCTTCTTTCTGCCCCCGGATCCAGTCAGAGGAGAAGCTCTGGCTGACGAGCGGTACCCTCACCACAGCGCGATAGCGCGCCGGCCATTGCTTGTCGCGGTTGTCCCTCATGTAGGACCAATGCCAGACGGTGGAGCCGGTCTCGATCTGCTTGGCGAAAAGCTGCTGCAGTCTTTAGAGGAAGGAAAAACTGCATGAACAGAAACTTTCGACGGTCCGCGCGGTTTCTTGGATCTGCGCCGGACCCCTCTCCCGGTCACGCGCGCCAGGGGCGGCGCCGGAGGCGCCGCCAGGGGGCCCCGGCGCAGATCCAAGAAATCCCCGCGGATCGTCGAAAGTTATGTTGTTATGCTTATGCAATTTTCATTCTTCGAAGCCTGTTCTGGACCCGCATGACCGTCGTCTTGCGCTCCGCGACCTGCTCGGCAATCTGGACCTCGGTCTCGTCGTCGCGGTTGTCCTTGGCCCATCTGGTCGTCGCCGGCTCGGGGATCTCCTGCGCCACGGCGCGCGCGAAGTCCCAGTCGGGCTCGAAGGCGTCCTCCAGCCCAGGGGCCTGCAGGTACCACAGCACCTGGAGGAAACCCCATAACATACACTTACACCTTCGACGGTCCGCGCGGATTTTGCCCGCTGGGGCGGCGCCGAAGGCGACGCCAGAAAGGGTTCCACCAGCGCAGATCGCAGATCCGAGGAATCCGCGCGGATTTTCGAACGTTTTATGTTCATACGGTTCTCTTTCTTTTCTTCTCCTTTTTCTTCTTCTTTTCTTCTTCATGCAATTCTTATCTTGTTTTTTCTCTTCTTCTTCTTCGAGCACCCGCTTCGCCACGTCGACCTCGGCCATGCCCTCGTCGGCGCACCGCTGTCCGGAGAACGTGTGCGACACGCCCTGCAGCTTAATCTCCACGAAGGCCTGGCACGTCCCGTCGGCCTCGTCGAATTTGCGGCTGCACACAGGCGGCGGGCTGCCCTTCTGAAGGCAGTGGTCCCTGAGGATGTCCACCTCGGTCTGCATGCCGTCCTCTGGGTCGAGCTCCAGGTCGCTCCAATCTGCCCAGCAGCTCGATGCGGCCCGCACAGGGGTCGCCCAGCCCACGCAGGGCGCCGTCTTCGGCGTGGAGCTCACCGACGCGCTCCGCGAAGGCGTTGCCCAGCCGTCCTCCTCCGTCCTCGGCGTGGACCTGCCCGAGGACGGGCCCTTCTCGAGCTGCTTGATGACGTCGAAGACGGGCCCGCCGCGCCCCGAGGCCATGTACAGCCCGATCGCGCGCTCTGCCGCGTCGCGCTGCGCCTTTCGGGTGCTGCCAAACGTGCCCCTGGCCCAAGGTGCCCCCCAGGATTCTCGGGGTGGCCCAGGCGGCCTCCAGGGCACCCCTCACGAGGCCCAGAGGACCCCAGGGGCCGCAGAATGGAGCGAAGAGCGGGGGGGCGCCTTGGGCCAGGGGCACTTCTGGCAACACCCGAGCCTTCTTCTTGGATGGCATCCACACGCCGGCGACGTGGTGGGGCAGGCCGGCCAAGACGAAGGCCACCGTGGCGCGGAACTCCAGGTTGCTGCCGACCATCCGCGTGCCGAACTCCCACTGCAGGACGCAGCACTTGGCGGGCATCCGGAACAGCTTGCCCTCCTCCTGCCGGCGGCGCCCACGAGGGGTCTTCCCCAAGCATCTTGTGCTGTTGGGTCCTCGTGTTGCAGAGCCAGCGCCCGCGTCGTCCTTCTCCTCCTCCTCCTCCGCCTCCTTCTCCCCCTCCTCCATTCATTTTCCTTGTGAATAACTCCTCCGTGTCGCACCCCGAGGCCAGTCGGAAGGGCGGGCTGGGCGTTTCGCTTGAAATCTCCGCACCATTTATGAGCCTGAAGTCTAGAAGCCCGCAGCCGTCGCACAGAGAGGGTGGGTCGCTTCCAACAGGTGGCTCTCGCCTCAGCGCCGCACGCACTCGTTTTGAAACTTTGTGGAAGTTTCACGGATTGAGGGCGGTTCGTTTTCAAAATGTGGCTATCGCATTCGCGCCGCGCACATACTTCTAAACAAATGTGAAAGAGCTTCGCGGATTGAGGGCGGTTCGTTTTCAAATGTGGCTCTCGCCTTAGCGCCGCGCACACTCGTCTGCAATATTGCGAACCAGTTTTTCACGGATGGAGGGCGGCTCGTTTTCAAAATGTGGCTCTCGCATTCGCGCCGCGCACATTCGGTTTGACAATTCGCAAGCGTTTGCGGGATCTCATGGTTAGCCTTCCAGAAATTGTGTTTCCGATCGATTCAGCATTGTCAGGGCGCCACAGTTACGCTGATTCGCGGTGTTGAAGTCCCAGGACATGCGTTCTGGAGCGATTCAGGATCGTCAAGACGCAACAGTCAAATTGACTCGTGGCGTTGAAATCCTGGCAATGGTGTTCTAGCACGCTTCAGGAATTTCGCACAATTGTTTCACAACGGGGCTCTTCCCTCAGTGTAAGTGAATCCTTGCAGGGGTAGATGACAAGGGAGCTTGGAGGGAGGGTGTATTTCAACATCGTTCATGCGTCTTGGGTTTGCACTGGTCCTCCTCCTCCTCCTCCTCCTCCTCTTCCTCCTCCCCCGCCTTTTTCTGCCTCTGCCTTCCGCGTGCAAATTTCGGCACACTCTTCACACGCTCCATGGTCCCATAGGGAGCTCCACCTAAAGCCCCAATGGCGATGTTCGCATGCGGGCGTCACGTCCGTTTCGGCACACCCGTCCCACATTTCGTGGCCGTACATGGAGCTCCACGTAAGGCTCTGGCGGACACGTTCGAATGTGGGCGTCACGCCCAATTCAGCACACCCCTCCCACGTTGCGTGGCCCCAGAGTGAACCCACCAAAGGCCCAACCGGCGACGTTCGCACGTGGGCGTCACGTCCGTTCCTGCACACCCATCACACGGTTTGTGGCCCTATAGGGAGCTCCACCAAAGACCCCAGTGGCAACGTTCGAATTTTGGCGTCACGCCTAATTCGGCACAGCCCTCCCACAATTCGTGGCCCCACAGTGAGCTCAAACTAAGGCCCCAGTGAGCACGCTCGCATGTGCATGAGGGCGTCAAACCTAATTCGGCACACCCCTCACACGTTTCGTGCACGTGGGCGTCACGCCGTTTCGGCACACCTCTCACACGTTTCGTGGCCCACGGAGAGCTCCACCGCAGGCCACAGTGGCAGGGTTCGCGTGGCGCCGCCGGCGCAGTGTCTGCACATCCCTCACACGTTTTGTGGCCCCGTATGGAGCTTCGCGCCCCAGCGGCATGGCCCGCATGGCGGTACTGGCTTATCTTAGCGCACCCCTGGCACGTCTCGTGGCCCCATGGGATGCCCCACGAACAGCGCCAGCGCCAGCGCCTGCATGGTGGCAGCGCCCCACTTTGGCACACTCCTCACGTGCTCTGGCCCTATGTGGAGCTCCCCTTCCCTCGTCTGACCTGCCTTGCTGTACCCACGCCTGCATATTGTTGGGTCCTTCGCCAAGGTAATCTTTCACAATCGCGGCCTCGGTTTCGGCCCCTAGGGCCCACTTCCGGGACCCAGGGCCTGGGTAGCGGCGGATGCTAGGGAGGCCGTCGGGGTGGCGCGAGGGGGGCGGTCTTCTCAGAAGGCGGAGGGGCTTCTCAGAAAGCAGAGGCCTTCTTGGGGTGCTCCAGAGGCTTCTGTGAAGGCTTCTTAGAAGCTGGGCGGGCTTCTGAGAGCTCCTCCGCCTGCTGAAGGGCCCACCCCCTCGCGCCACCCCCCCTCCTTGGCGCCGCCGATCCTGCACGAACTCCTGCAGCTGCGAGATTGGCCCGCGGCTGTTGGCATCACTGGTGCACATGGTTGTTCTTTGGCTCGGGTTTGGTGGCTAGCCTGCGCCCGGCTTCTGTTCGGATCACGCCTGCCTCGAGGAACTCAAGCTGGCTGGAGCCACAGCGGCTATACGGCGAGCTGCTGCCGCGGCGATGCCGGGACTGGTGCCGGACAGCGTCCATCGCCTCGACCTGGAGCGATCCCCGCTTTAGAGGGTCCGCAGCAGCTGTCGACCCCAGCCTGTGTGTGTGTGGATTTCGCGTCGTGTGGGCCGCCTCCTAAGCGCCCGGGCCCCAGAACCGGCCCGCAGAGGGTCGGAGAAGAGCGATGTCAGAAGAAGAAGAAGAAGAAGAAGAAGAAGAAGAAGAAGAAGAAACGGCAAATACGCAAACTTTTGGCGCTCCGCCCAGATTTCTCGGATCTGCGCTGGACCCCCCTCCCTGGCGCGCGGAGCGCGCCAGGGGCGGCGCCGGAGGCGCCGCCAGGGGCCCCCCCCGTCGCGGATTCAAGAACTCCGCGCGGAGCGCCAACAGTTTATGTTTATGCTTATTTTCCCCCCCGAGATGTGAGAGACTACGGCAGCTCAGCATCGGCCCCCGGACCCCTCCGGGGGCCGAAGCGCACCAAGTTCTCCCGAGCCGCGCGCCGCCGTTGCGACGAGGCGACGAGGTGCCCCCCCCCCCCCCCCGAAGGCCAAGCACCGCTGTCGCAGCGGGCCCTCCTCCGACGGGAATCGGGGGCGTCCAAGGAGGGGGGCGTCCAACCAGGGGAGAGGCGCGAATCCTTGCCGGCGGCACAGGCGCGGCCCCGGGGGGGGGGGGCCGGGACGTCCTGAGACAGGAAGGGGCGGCCTGAGAGGAGGTACGTACGATGGCCCCCTCCGTGATCTCCTCCCCCCCACCCCCCCAGGCATCACCCCCCTCTTAGCCGCCCCCGAGATAGGGGAGGGAGGAGGGGGAGGAGGGGGAGGAGGCGGAGGAGGAGGAGGAGGAGGAGGAGGAGGAGGAGGAGGAGGAGGAGGAGGAGGAGGAGGGTGCTTTCAGCCTGGAGCGCCCGCGCTGGCGCCGCTGCCGTGCCCAGGCGGCGCGGGCTTGCCGCCGCCGCGGCGGGCGCGTGCGACCCGCCCCGAGGCGATCGCGGCGATCGCGGCGATCGCGCCGGCCGTCGGCTCGGCCGGAGCAGGGCGCCGAGGCGATCGCGGCGGCGGCCTCGCGGCGGCCCTCCTCCTCGGGCCTCCGCGCAGCGGCCTCCTGTGAGCATCGTCGAGCCGATCCCCATCCCCTGGACCCCCCCCCCCTCGGGTCATGAAAAGGGCATGGTGGAGGAGGTCGGTCGCCATTTTCGGCCTCTGGGGGCCCTCAGCGGGCCTCGAAACCGTCAGACAACGACTCAGGATGGAACACCGGCCTGGGGACTCGGTCGAGACCTCTGGGGGTCGATGTCATAACAAATCATGACGTAGGGGATCTGGGTCCCCACTGGCGTGGCCTTGGCACCGCTGGCCGACTGACCTGCCCAGGTGGGGATATTTGCCTGCTCATTTGGGTTTTGCGGGCCCAATCCCCGCCTAGGAGGGTGTGTGGAGGTGGCGCTGGGTATTGGTTAGACGATGTTTGATCCTGCGATCCTGGGCACATGTTTGTTCAGTTGCCTTTGCTGCTAACCCAGCGAGCCGCGCCGACGGGATCGCGACCCTGACCCCCCGTGGGGTCCACCTTGGCCAACCTCTCGAGCTGCGTCTGGCCGTGGCGACTGGGGACGCCCAGAAGGCGGCCCCAAAATGCTGGAACCGCGGGGCTCGATCTCCGCGTGGCGATCTCTTCATGGTGGGGCCTCCCGCCTCGAGGCCCAATGATGAGGGGTAACACCAGGGGGGGACGGGCTCGGGGGCGGAAGGCATCGACCTGGCATCGGCGACGCGTCGCAGCCAGCTGGGCGACAGCTCCTCGAGGGCGAACCTGCACGTTCCTGGGCGGGGCGGGGGGATCGGGCCCCGTCGGCGATGACAGGGCAGTCGGGGGTCGATGCGTCCCCCCCCCCGACCTCACCCCCTCCTGGCGTGGCCCCGGAGCCCCGAAGGGCCCCAAGAGGCTCCCGCTCCTCGAGGCCCGGGGCTGCGAGCAGGAGACCTGCGCGCACCCTCCCCGCTCCCTGGCCGGGCCCAGCCTGCGACCACAGGGCCGGTGGTGCACCCGCCCCCCCTGGCTCGGCCAGCGAGGCTGCGCCGATGCCGCTGCACCCGGCAGGCAGCTGCGCAGACCCGGGGAGCTGCACGAGGCACGGATGTGACAGCCGAGGGAGAAGGAACAGAGATCCCGAGCCCAGGATGGGCCTGGAGAGGGCCCAGGCATGCGACGTCCTGATCCTTCCAGTGCGGCGTCCCCGGAAGTCCGGACCCTCTCCCAGGGACCGGTCTCTCATCCCGAGTCCTTCGCTGACGGCCCCGAGGCCCAGCGAGGGCCCCCATGGCCCGAACATAGCGAAGCACGTGCCGCCTTTTTTGTTTTTGTTTTGTTTGTTTGTTTGTGTTTTTCTTTATATATACAAATAGTTAAACACATATATATATATATACTTAAACACAGACATGTATATATATATCATATATATATATAAACGACGCGATCATGTCTGGGGAGCTGTGTCTGTGCGCAGCTCTCGTCGCCCGAGAGGCTTTGGCTGGCGCCCTCCTGCAGGCCGCTCGGCGCGTAGCCTCGCTCCTCCAGCGCGGCCCCCATCGCGCTCAGGGACGCCTGCAGGCCCTGCGCGCGCGCGGCAGGCACCCCCCCCCTCCTCCTCCTCCTCCTCCTCCTCCTCCTCCTCCTCCTCCTCCTCCTCCTCCTGCTGCTCCTGCTCCTCCTCCTCCTGCTCCTGCTGCTCCTGCTCCTGCTCCTCCTCCTCCTCCTCCTGCTCCTTCTGCTGCTCCTTCTCCTCCTCCTCCTCCTCCTCCTCCTCCTCCTCCTCCTGCTCCTCCTGCTGCTCCTCCTCCTCCTCCTCCTCCTCCTCCTCCTCCCCCTCCTCCCCGGGAGCGGAGGGGGCCCAGGCCCAGAGCGGCATGGCTCTCCGATGCGGTAGTGCTTCGCTCCGACTCGTCGGCCTCTGGGGCCCTTGGTCGGGCCCTGGGGCAGTCACAGGCACGGGCCCCGGGGCGCACAGAGCTCCCAGGGAAGCGGTCGAGACCTCTTGGGCCCCGGGTGGAGAAGTTCCACCGGCGGATGTCTGGTGGAGCAGCATATCCTCGTGGCGACGATCAGCTTCTCCGATTCTCGCGGTGAGAGCAAGAAGGCCTCGAAACATTGTGCCCCCGTGGCTCGACCAAACAGGAGCGCATGACCACGTGTTACCCTCGTGGCTAAAGTAAGCAACGAACGCACGAAAGCGCTGTGTTCTAGTGGTCTTGAAAGAACAGGAGCGCTGCGCGTACGCTCCTCGCTCCCCTCGCGGCCTCGTCGGGGGCCCCCGCCGGGGCCTGGGGCCGTCCGGCGGGTGCTCCCGGAGAGGGAGGAAGAGGCGGGCCGCCCGGGAGGGGGGCCGAGGCGGCCCCTCGGCGTGCAGCGGAGGCCGGCCCACCAGAAACCTTCCACAGCGGAGGGCAGCAAAACGCCAATCTTCTGAGTTCAGACACTTATTCTATGAATCCAAGAACGAATTCTTGGAATTCGAGAACCATTTTTCGAACTCGAGAACATTTCTGGAATCCAGAAACCATCCCGACAAGCGGGGCCATTTCGTAAACGCACTCAAAGAAGGGATCGAACAGGGCGGGGCTGTTTCGTAAACGCCCAGGGCCGTTTAGTAAGCGCCGATGATCGGGTCTGGGTGGTTTTCATTCCTCGACACAAGAAACCCAACCCTGAGTTCCCAGGACGCCCATGGATTTTTGGTGCGGAACGTCACGCTTTCCAGAGAAAAGCCATCGACACCCAAGGAGCCCATGGCACCCTGGAGGCAAGCAGGGTGTTTCTTGGCATGGGTCTCCACTGTATTTGTCAGAGCGCATTTCTGGGGACGTCTGGTTCTGATGTGTGATCCGCCCGGCTCTGTGCGAAGCTTAGAACGGCGGAGTCTGGACGAGTTTCTGCCCGCGGGGGTCCCTCGCACGCCCCCCAGGGTCGTCCGAAAGTGCGATGGGCACGCAGTTCAACACTTGTTCTTGCCGATTCTGAACAGAATTCGCTGTCGGCCGCGGTCGTCGCCCGTTCGAAACGCAAGCTCGCCTACCCAACAGCGGCCGCTGTCGGTTTTGGACAACATTTGTTGTTGAGCATCGTGCACATGTTTTGCGTACCCACTTGGGCGACCAGAAACAAAAGCCAGCCCGGCGAAAAGCCAGACGTCCGCCGATCGGACCCCTCAATCCGCGGCCCCAGAGAAGTCCCGACTGGTCTTCGCCCCAGACTCGTCTTTGACAGTCCCTGGCTCCGACAACGGGACCCAGAGGCCGAAACCGAGGAAGAACTACAGTCAGCCCATACCGTAAGGACGCGCGATAAAGATGCAAGGGCCATGGAAGGCCATTTCGAAGCTTTTCGAGCCGGGCGCGGTCAACGAAAGAGGCCAAGGATGGACCGAGGAGGCAAAGATGCCCATCCTTACTATGCGGGTTGACTGAACTATACCGGAAACGTCCAAATCGTCGGAGATCCTGAGGCGGGGCCGAGACCTCCGCGGGCCCACGCGTGGAGGTGATCACGGCGCCGGAGGTCTGCATGAGGAGCAGCCATGGGAGGCCGAGCGGCGAATAGGCGGCTGCACCGATCGCTCTCTCCTCTCTCCCTTCTTTCTCTCCGTCCCCCGTCCTCCGGGGCCGTTTTGGCTCCAGCATCGGACCAGCGCCACTGGCGCCCCCCGCTCCGCTCCCGCCCGTCCTCCGCCCCGACGACGACGACGACGACGACGACGACGACGACGACGACGACGACGACGACGCCCGACCGCTCAGCCCCTCGTCTCCGCGGCGGCGCGACGGAGGCGCGGAGCCCGCTGCTGCCGGGCGCCGTCGACGCCCGCGCGCGGCCGGCGGCCGCG